TATCTACCTGACATTCTTAGATATCTAAAAGGCATCTCAAACATAATGTGATCAAAACAGAACCTTTGATTTCTCATCTTTGAATCTATTCTTTATTCAGTTTTCCCACTTGGGGAGGTAAATGTAAAAATTTACCCGTTTGACCAATCCAACAATGCAGAAATAATTCTTCTCTCTCCAGGCAGTAGATCATGCCAGCCTGCCTCTAAATTGCATCCACTTCTTTTCCACTTGACTTCCAGGCGTGAGTCTAAATTACTCTCATTTCTTCCTTACAACATTGCGAAATCTAATTTTACTCCTTCACTTTTTTCTTTTCCCTTTTATTCTGTGTTATTTTTAATGTCACTCTCATCCTTAAATTACTCTTTGCTTTTCACTACATTTGGAATAAAATATAAAATCTTTCTGAAATCTGTATATATATATCCCTCCATAAACCTTCCTGTACTCAGCTGACCTTTAATCCCATTCACATCAGAGTTTAGTAAATCCAGTGCTGTTTCTTTGTCCATCAAAAGAACTAAGTTTGTTATACTCTTAAATTTGGGTATATAATCGTGTTATTTTATCTTGCTTTTTTTAAGCTTTGCCTCCCTCCATTAGGATGTGAAATTTATAAACATGATTTCTCATCTTTCTTGTTAGGAAAAATAAGAGAAGAAGCTAAAAATAGTTTCCTCTCTTTTCTGCAAGCTACATACTTCCATTCTAATAATTGTGCTTTTAGACTTTGGAGGAAAGTTAGAATTTTAGCTACAAAAGTGATTCATAGGACTCATATGAGTACATAAATATTTAAATCAGTCTTATGAGTTTTGGTGACAAGGGGACAAACAGGTATTTGACTTCAAGTACTTGTTTTACTAACATGCTCAGAATTTTTATCATTAGCAAACATAGCAAGGATTGTGGTGGGGATAACATAGAGGAGAGAAATAGAAGTAAGACAAAATTTTAGTCCTTAGGGATATTATGTCTTAGTAAAATTTAGGCAACTCATTTATAAAGTGATGTTTTAATAAGGGAATACAGGTGGGAAGAAGATGAGAGCAGTAATTCTTCAGTGGGCAGACATTCTCCTTAATGATGTAAAAAGTACATGCAGGAAGGAGCAGGTGAGAGATGCTGATAAGCTTCATTTTTACTGCTTTTAGCCTTAAATCTACATGGAGCGATCTCGCTATGAGGTAGCATAAATGAAAATTAGTTTTTGTTAAGTATATTTTCTTTAAAAATTATAAGTAATGTAGTTTACATTCTGATTTTAAAAGGTTTTTAGTTTTGTAATTAATAAAAGTTTTATAATTAATAAAAATTAATCCGATTTTTTCTACTGATTAAAGGCCACATTTTAAACTTTAATTTGTAATGCATTACAAAATATAAATGTCACTATGTCCATGGGGTGTGTCATGTATGCATGTAAAAATCAATATTCAGAATTTGTGTTATTTTAATTTAAAAATATAATCATTGTGATTATTATTCCAAACTATTATTCATTACTATCAGCTTTTTTAATCTTTAAATATATTCCACTTTTGCTCATGATAAGTTGTCCTTCTGAATGAAATATATTTAGCAAAATCACAGCGATCTACCACTCTTGAATGTTACTCTTGATCTTAACCTGCAGGCAAACCTTGATCAAAGCATTAGAGAAACCTCTCTCATCAAATTTGTTGAGTTTCTTCCATACCCATTTCAAACTTTTGGTTCTCACACTTTGGTGATTTATGTATCCATGTATGTATGTATGTATGTATGCATGTGCATCCATGTATACGTATGGGACAGGTTATCACTGTGTTTCTCGGGCTGTTCCCGACCATCTGGATTTAGACAGTCCTGCCTCAGCCTCTCTTATAACTCACTTATAGCTCAGATTAGGCCTCATTTTTATGTTCATCTCAGCAGCATTTGAATGCATAGAACACAATGAATTTGTTCTTCTGGCTTCTGAACTTTCATTGTTTTCCTCTTAGTTTCTTTGGCCAGACCCTCCTTTCTTGAGGGCACTACTGGAATCAGTTCTCAGATACCTTCTTTGTCAGTATTCACTGATCTCAGCCACTATGTGCATAAAAACTATTTCACACCAATACTCCTTAGAGTGATTGTTTAGTCTTCAGTATTTGTTATTATGTAAAACTACGTTGACAACTTCTTGCAGAAATACAAATGATTTGGGCTGGGAGCAGAGCTTGGTGGTAGTGTACTTGCCTACCATGCTTGAGGTCATAGATTTAATTCCTTGTATCATGCAAAACAAAACAAAAATAAAGGTTTATAAAGCTTATTCAAAATGATACTTGAGTTTTCAACCTAAATCTACTTTCTGAGTTTCACATTTCTGTGAATGACAGTGTCATTTGAGCATTTTCTTGGTTCAGAAAATCTAGAATTACTATTCATTCTTCTCTTTTTCATGGCCCATATTAACTTCATTATCAGACATTTTCACATCTTCAAAGTTTAGTATCTTACAGGGAAAATTTCTCATTGAATCTACTGCTACTATCACTCTGTCTCAACTGTCTTTATGAAGCTCCTCCCTGAGGTCTTTCTTAGATCCTGTTTTCTATCTGCTAGACAGAAGGAGATTTTAAAAATATGACACATATTGACATGCTCTCTATATTTAAAAAAAATCCTTAAATGCTTAAGGCTTTTTGTATTTAGTACCAAATCCAAAATTTTCACCCTGGTTCGCAAGACCACATGTCTTTCTACATCTTCCTGTACTCATCCCTTTCACTCAGTACTGCCTATGTAAATATCCTGGTCTCAGAAAGGAGGTCGCTTCAAACCTCTAAAAATACTCTCTTAACTATCTTCTTGTCCTGTCTTACTTTTCTGCAGAGGGTTATCATCAACTGAAACTATAACATACACATTTTAGGAAATTTTGGTGTTATTATCTTTCCACTATAATATAGGGAAGACAAAAGGTGCCACTTTTATTTTGTTCATCATTTTAGACCTACCTACAATTTACATCAAAATATGATATTTGAGAGGCCTTCATAAATATTTACTAAGTTAATGAATGATTTATATTTAGGAAAAGAAAAATTATGCACATAGTTTAATCTTACATGACTACTGCAAGGTACCATAGAGACATGTCACTACAGTGAGTCATGGTGGTTACATCAATCACAAGCTTTTAGGGAGGTAAAAAAAAGAATGAGGGTAACTGGTTGTGTGAAGGATCACCACTGTGAGACGATGGGAGATTGGCTCCTCACTGCCCTATGCATCAGAATATACTTGTGACTTGCTAAATTATGTGTCAGACAACTGCCTCCAAGGGCTCTGACTCAGAGATCTAGGGCGGATATGCACTTAGGCAGTTATTTTTATGAAGTTGGGTCCCCTAGAGTCAAAGCTTGAAGTAGGGATTTGAGCATCTGTGATTTAATGTAAGAGTGCTTGCAGAGAAAAATCAGTAAGGCAGGGAAAAATGCTACATGAGGGAGCTGAGCAAACGTGTGGCTCCAGGTAACCTAGTCTTGATCTGATGCACACAGCAAGTGCTCTGCATCGCAGAACAACCATAAAGTTGTTTTTTCTTGCCGCAAGAGAGTAGGATAAGTTAGGCATTGGTTTTGGCTGCTTCCGTGACTTCCTCAACTTTCCAGGCAAGGCAAATCTTAGTGGAGTTCAATTCTCCAGAGGGAAAGTTGAGAACCATTATTAGCCAACATCCATAGCAGCTGGGGGACCGTGTGCTGGCCCAGAAAGGGAACTTGGGCCAGCTACCATAGTTACAGCCATATAACAATAGGGTGATTGTGAAGCTCAGACGTTCATTCTTTCAGTAGATATCTACAATGGCCTATCCCAGCTTTTAGTTGCTGGGATTCAGTGATAAATAGACATGGTCCCTGCAGTATGCATAGGTAGAAACAGATATTAATAAAAATATGCAGTCATAATAAGACACTACTGGATTATTATGCCAAATAATGAATCAAAGCGAAATTATAAAAAATAAGCCCATAATATTATGCAGCCAAGTAATTTTTTAAAATTAGTTCTTGCAGTAACTCTGAGATTAGATAAATTCTTGTCACAGTAATCATTACCCGATAATATTAGCTGTGTTAATGAAATAGTAATCAAGCATTTGAAAAGTCAAATAGAATTTAAAAATTTATTTCAACATTGGAACTATGTTCGAGTGCAAGACTTCTATATCACACTGTTTAAAAACAACAAATTTTCTCTTAATAGAAGTAGTAGCAAAGATTCTAAAGGAATCAATAATTTTAAGAATTAAAAAATTTAAATACTGGTCAGATGTCAGCTACCTTTTGTCTTTTCAAATTACTCTATTCATTCCTACCTCAGCCTGGCAAACAGGGCAAAAACAAAATATGGAGGAGAAACAGTGATCTTGCTGCCAGGGAATATTCAAGTTTTCAGACTTACAGTAATCTTCTAGTCCTTGTGGAGGCTACAACTTACTGGAAGCCATTGAATTGATATGCAATGTTCAGCAATTATAATTCTGATATTGTGATAGTTAAAATAACAATATTTAGTGAATAAAAAGACATTTGAACAATTAGATACATATCCCTGGGTTTCAAGCAAAGTTTGAGAATTTATTATTAATATAAAACAGATAAATCCAAAGAAAGAAAAAAAATTGTTTTTATATATTTCATTATTAGAAAGACACAGGAACATTTAAATTACTAATAAATTAGTAGATATCAGTAAATATCTGAAATTCTTCATTTTATCTAATACTCTGTTTTCATCTCTTTTTTTGTATCTTTGCATAGTATTATATAAGCTACTATACAGAAAAATAAGTCAGCTAATGAAGGACACAGTACTTGTCAGTAAAACAGTGTTTCTTACTGTAGCGTAGAAAAGAATTTCAAAGGAATCTAATTCCGTCGAAATGTCACCAAACCATCTCTTTAGGAGGCTGTAGCACCAACAGAAATAACAAGGCTTATTTCCAGTAATTCCGTTCATACCTCAAATCCCTGTGGTCTTCCTAGACTCTCTTTAATATGTTTCCATGCAACAAGAATCTCTGACACAGACATACTTGTAGCCTTTACATCAGTGGGAGCAGTACTGGGCTCTGTATGAAAGAAAGTGAAAATAATAAGCTATGAATATAACAAGTATGTCTATCAAAGTAATGCACCTAAACCCACCAGGTGTTCACTGCTTTCTACTTTTTGCAATGAGGAGCTCTGGTAGTTACAGAAAACAAAAGTAACAAAGACGATCTTTTGTATTTCTCTATTAAAGTCAAGTTTCATCAATACCTTACCAAAGACAAATCACAAATCTGGAATGATAAGCACAAGAGGCCTTTATTCTTGGGCTGGCCAAGACAGTTCTGGAGAAGTTAAATGGTCTGATTAAAGTTGTCTGACATTCTATCACACTGATGAGGGGCAGGGACGATGGAGTCAGGGTTGACATTTTGTTGTTGCTGCTGCTGCTGTAATATTTTTTGCCTTTAAAAATTTATTTGAGATTATATAATGCATACATGTATGGAAATATCATATCCCATTAATGTGTTTTTAATGTTATTTTACAAATCTAATAAATAAAATAATAATTTTTATTTACCTTTAGATAATTGTTTTTACCTCCTTCTATTACCTAGTTCCATGTTCTGTATTATGGCTTAAGAGTATTATCTCATAGATTTTAGGACTAGTTTTAATTATTATAAAGCACATAAATATGTAGCACTATAGTTGGCCTTAAAATGATCATTTACAAGTATATATTAATTGTACAGGAACATACAGACTACATTATATATTATTTTGATGCTCTAATCACAAAACTACATTTCTATAATTGTAAAAAAAATGTGCTATGAATCATGATATTCAAAAGGCATGCATTGACTTTTAAAACAGGTGTGAGCTTAATAGAAAAATCCCTGAAGGTCTTGGTGCTATTGCTCAAAACCACCCTTTCATTTGTTTCTATGCTTAGTGACCTTTCCTACTATTTTTTTTAAGTACACAATATCTGACTGGCATCCATCAAGGTGGCTTTAATTTTAGGTTGTCTACTCTATGAGCAACAAAATATTTCTAATTTTGACATAAATGAATCATAAATACTATCACAAACACACGTTAAATAAAATGACAGAATAAAGGCTATATATTAGGCCAGGTAGTTCTATATAAAATCTATTTTAAAAGAATCACAACCCTTAAAAATTGTAGAGATTTTGAAACTAACCTTGTATCACTGCTAAGAATGCAGATTCATGCACTAAAATTAGTTTTCTGAGTGCCAGTATACCAAAGATAGAAAAAGATAACAAAGACAGAGTTCTACACAAGATTTCTGAAAAGCATTATGACAGATATTGAAACAATTGTAACTTTTTCTGAGATATTTCCCTTTGTAATAGAAGATAGTAATACAATTGCCTAATGTTTTAATATTATTAATTGAAAAGTATCAGTCAAAAATCTATTCATTACTGTAAAAAGCATACAGAAGATATTTTTCACAGGTATATATTTGTACAAAGTAATGCTTTTCTTCTGGTAAAGCTTTCATTAAAATCATATGATATAATTTTGTCAGCAAAAATAATTTGCTCAATTCACATTAATCTTCCACAGAAGCTAAGACTGACTCCATCACAGCGTACATTGTAGATTCTTGATCCTTTGAATGGTTTATTATTGTCTTTTGTGGTTTTCACCTACCCCCTTTTTAACTCCCCAGTACTTACTTATCACTCAGTGTTTTAAAGAATGCATTCTGGGAACCCTTCTAGTCAAGAGTAGTTAAAATTCTCAGTTTTACAATTAAATGAAAGGAAATGCTGATGTTCTGAGGTGTGTACAATTTGATCTCTAGGATTTAGGATGTGGTTCATTTCTAAGGGAACCACACTTTGCATATCATTTGGTATTCAGTTGCAGTTTTGCTTCTCGATTTAGAATGAATGTGTTGCAGAGATTTGTGAGCCAAATGCCTTCTTTCAGCTATTATATTACTGGAGCAATTACATCTTTGTCAGAGAAGATTGCAGGGGGATAAATAATTTCAGAAGCACAAAACATGTGGTTGGGTGGCAGCTTTTCTATTCCTCTTTATCTTTAGAAAAAGAAATTACTTCTCTGTCAGCTCTCAGGAGCACTATACAAGTTTAAACACCTCTCAACAAGAATGTAAAAAAAAAAAAAAAAAAAAAAAACCAGAAAACAAAGTAAAAGAAAAACAAAAATGTTCAGAAACCTACTTTCTAGCCAGGCATCTTAATTTCTATTTAAAAGCTCTGAGGATTTTAAATCAGTCACCTGACATTTCATAGTTGCATTTTTGGTCTTTGCACATTATTGGTGCATCTAATGGGATGAGGGTAAAGGACTCATGCAGGAGCTCCTTTAACTTGTTTTACATTTTTGATCTAAATAGTATCAGAAGTAGATCCAGGCTATCATGATTTGAAAATTTCAGCATGGTGCACACACTAAAAAGCTCACTCAGTTTCTCCTAGAAGTTGTCCATGGACTGCTTGATAGCTGAGTGGGCAGGAATAACCGAATGGATCACAGAAAGCCCGATTAGAACTCACTGCTCTATCTGGAAACAACTGGACCCCGGCAATTAAAAGAGGGTTTTAAAAAATCACTTGGATCAAAAGTCGCAAAAGTCTGACCAGTGGCTCTTTTCCATCATTTTGTCTGTCTATCTGTTTGCTTATTTATTTAGTCTTTTTAAGACAGGATCTCACTATGCTGTTCAGGCTAACCATGAGCTCAACTCGTATCCTAGGCTGATTTCAAATTTGCAGAGATACTCCTGCCTCAGCCTCCAGAGTCCTCAGATTACAGATGTGCGCCACCATGTCTGGCTTTGTCTGTTTAATGGGCTCAAGTAATTAAATTAATCCAACATTTACACCATAATCTACTATATGAATAAAGTAGAATTTATGACTTTGAAATGAGAGGAAGAACCAAGCGTGAAATTTAGAGGGTTGGCATGTGACAATGAGCAGTTCACTTCCCTAGAGAAGGGCGGCTGTTTTTGTGGGAGACCCTGTTGCCCTCCACCATCCCACATGATACCTCGAGTTTCTATTGCATATCTAACCCTGGAGGCCTTTGAATGACAAAGCTATGTTTTAAATTCATGGCCTCATTTTACAGGTGTGAAAAATTATATGTACCAAGGAGTATGTATTCAAATTCTACTTCTGGCTTCGAAATTACTCAAATGCAAACTTAATTCTGAAGTATTCCTTCTGTTCTTCTTAAATTTTGTGCCCAGTAAGCAGCTGACTTGTTGTTAATCTTTCAGAATCAATTTTGCAGTATAGAGAAGATATATTATTAGAAATTTATATACTTCATTCTTTCATTTTTCAGTTTGGCTTAGTGTTTATTTGTTTGCTTTTGAGGTAGGGTCTCCCTGTGTAGTTAAGGCTGTCCTCGAACTTGTGGCAATCTTCCTGCCTCAGGCTCTTGAGTGATTATAATTCATCCTTTTGCTACCTAAATTCTTCCTAATAACTTACAAAGCAACAGGTAGGATATGATTAGAAACAAAACAGATGAGGGGAAGAACCCAAAGAGATAATAATAATTATCAGCTTTTGGGGATTTGCTACGTTGCAAGCCTGCTTAATTTTTTACATGTATTAACATCCCCCACACCTCTATTACTAGTTTCACTACTTTTCTTAGGAGGAAACTGAGCAACAGAGAAGTTAAGCCACCCGAGATCACATGGCTGCCAAGTGGCAGAAGGATTGATTTGCACACAGGCAGCAAAGCTCTGCCCCATTTCCCGCCTGCTTCTGGGCATCGTCATGCTGCCCGCACCTCATGCATCTGCTCTGCTACTGCTCTCTCTTCTCCTCACCTCTCCACTTCTAAATTCTCTCAAGAATTTTCATGTTGAACGTTCCGGGCTTGCACTTCCTACTTCTAGACAATGCTTAACCCCCTTTCATCTCCCTGTTCATCTTGCCACAGGTTTACTCTCAATTCCCTTTATCCTTAGTTCGTGGATAGTTTTATAATTTTGAACCACCGCTGCACTGTTCATTACAGAGCATATCTGGGCATTTCTGAAACTCTCCTGAACTTGGAATCACACTATGCTTTCTGTCAGTATTATCTGTTTCACTCAGGTAATTTGATGAAAACTCAGGAACTTATGTCTGAGATTAAACTGGTATTATTTCTAGTAGATTGAAAGACTTAAAAGGATCTGTTTCTCTGGCTTGTGATGATATTACGGAGGCTATAGATAACTCCTTTGTTTCAATCTGGGGATATGAAGTGGACGTGCTCATTGATAGAGTTCAGTATCTGTTGAATTAAAAAATTTGAACAGTATTACCATGTTCATGAATCTAGATAACACATTTGTTGACCCAGCAATCAGAGTTCTCCAAGTAATACAGGAGGATGTGCTTGTAATATTGATTATACATCTGAATCCCAGGAGGGTGAGCAATAGCATTAATCAAAAGAGAATTTAATACATTTCTTGGGAGGAGGGTTATGATTTCATTATTTAAAAATTCAGAGAAGATAGCTGTAGTTGAACTTTTATAGACACTAATCAAGTAGATCATCTGGCAAAGACAAGGAATTATTTTTTGTATTTTATAAGTAATGTGTCAATTTATTAATTTTCAAGTTCACATAAATCCCACTGAGCTCACTTTCAGCTAACAACTCATCTGGAGAATAACTCCTTATGAATGTTGGGTTTTAATTTGAATTGTAGTAGTTTTGTTTGCAAGGAGATAATTGCATATCATTTTCTTTAAATGAAAAGAGCCTTTCAGGCTTTAAGAAAAGTAAAAGCAGTACACTTTTTAAATGTAAGGCAAAAGCCAAAAACAGTAGCAGCAACAACAACAAAAATCCAGTGAACCTCCCAGCTCCAAAGAGCCTACACCGAAAATGTTAAAGTACATCACAAATAAGAAATCTTTCAATGTTTAATTAACATATATTGGTGAGGCAGGAGGATCGTTGCAAATTCAAGGCCAGCCTGGATTACAAAGTGAGTTCAAGGCCAGAGTGAACTGCATAGCAAGACCCTGATTCAACAAAACAAAACAAAAACACAATAAAAAAAATATACTGAATTTCTGTTTTTCTATTAGATATAAATGAATACTCTGGTTCTTCTGATCCAAAGTTTTAAGTAATAAGAGCCAAGGGAAATGGATATAAGTTTAACTATTAAATATTTCTAGGAATGTGAAAGTGGTCAGGCGGGATAGTGCATGCCTGTAAACCCAGCACTTGAGACCTTTGTGCGGGAGGATTCCCTTGAGTTCAAGGCCAGCCTGGGCTACTAGTGAGCTCAAAGGGATTCTGAATTATAGAGTGAAACCCTGTCCAAATAAACAAACAAACAAATAAAAATAGAAATGTGGCGCCGGTGGTCCCAGTGGCAGCATAAGTGCCTGCTTGGCAATTGCGAGGTTGTGAGTTTAATCCGCATACACACACACACACACACACACACACACATACACACACACATCCACCTTAAAAAAGAAAACAATAGAAATCTGAGAATGAACCACTGATTTTGACTTTTCATCTTGCAAATTTTTAATGAATTTTACCATGCCCTTTAACTTTTGTTTTGAAACTTAGCTTTTATTTAAAAGAATGGAATTGCTTTTAAAGTGAGCACATTGCTCAGGACTTTACCATGCCTACAGATCTGTAGTTTAGTTAGGGGTACAAATGTACACTTTCCTTTCTTCCTTCTTTCCTTCCTGTTTTCCTTTCTTTCATGGTCTGACATGTGTGATATGTGGTAGATGTACAGGGTGCATGGAAATGCTGGCTGGCAAATATCTTTTGTACCAGTCTTACATCAGATGTTACGTGACATCAACAGAGCCTTTAAGGGTTACTTCTGTTGTAGAAACACTGAAAGGTTTCAAAAGCTCAAGGGTGTTAGCATAAGAATCTCTTTAATAATTTCTTACAGTACTCTAAGGCCAGAATCAACTTTACAAATGCGAAAGTCAAGGTCATTCTGGAAATGACTTACCAAATATTAGTATTTGTAAGAGATCATTCCTTTAATAACAGATTGACTTAAGGTTTTCCTTATATAATTCTTATTTACATTGAAGTAGAATTTTTTGAAAGCAAAATTATGAAGTATGGATGAATGGTCATAACACTTATGCACTGGTATTCTGGATGGAATTGTTATTCATCATTGATGTTCCAGTGGGAAGAACTAAAAAGTAGTCCTGTAAGATATGCCTGTGTGCTTTTTGTTTTGTACCTCAAATAGCACAAGTTCTGGTGGCTACATATTAACACCATTTCCCCTCCAGTTGTGTTATCTGTGAAAAAGTGGCTTTTTCATGGTGCTCCACGTATATAGCCAGTATTCTTGATATGAAGAAAAACTAAGCCTCTAAATAGAAATGCAATATGAGGGGTTTGTTTTTTATTGTATCTAAGGATATGGAGGGATTTGGAAGTATAAAAGCGTGCATCACATTAATGGAAAAATAAAGAAGCAGTGTTTAAGCAGTTAAGTAGAAATGCAATTTAAGTTAGATATGTGGGGCTTGAGCCAAGAATATACTGATAAAAATGCAAAGAAATGGTGTGAATGCCAATAGAATAGAAGGAGCCTGTACAGACAGAGCTGCAACTAAAACCTGTAGTTGGCAAACTTGTTACGGGTCTTGAGTCTCAGAAATTGGTTCAGTCTTTGAAATGGTCGCTCACTTTCAGTTAAGGCAATTTTTCAAGTGAATGTAAATATTAATTTGTCCACTTCTGTTGTATAGCAAAACCTAATTTATTATCTCTACTTATTTGAAAGGACAGTGGCTCAAAAGAATGTTCTATGTCTTAGAACATAGAATAAATTGACAGAAGTTTACTTTTGCAATTTGTGAAGTCATCCAGAGATGTTCTACTTAAAAACTTTATTATTAAAGGGTAGAAACATGGAGTTTCAAGAGGTAAATATACTGCTTCAAATCATATTGTGACCATATTTTTTGCAATATTCTTTACTACTATAGTTTCTTCAGCAAACTATACCTTTATAAAAACTGTTATACCATTATTTGTTATATAACATGATTATATGCCACATGCTTACATGTGAGGTGTGATTAAAAATGTAATGGGTTTTTAAATTTTGAAAATGTATTACAGTGAAAGACACAATGTCATTAATTCCCTTCAAAATACTACCTTTCACTGTGAGCATGTTTCCTTGCGTTTCTGGAGCAATTCTGGTATTTAAATGAGGTTGTTCCTACTCCAGGGAAAAGCACTTCTTTTCCCTTGTCCTGAATTTTTTTTGTTGAAACAAAATTATGCCAACTTTGTACTCATATTTATACATAAAGATCTAATTTTATAAATTTAATTAGTGAAAAATGCCACATGTATATTTGAATTCTAGTGTCTGAATAAAAGCAGGTTTTATGTCTTAATATGTGTTATATATTTTATATTTTAGTTTACAAAGAAAGTGTGATCATGAAATATGTTACAGCAACAACCTCAGTGTCTCTGAGGAAACTATGCATTTTTTTTTTTTTTTTTTTTTTAGCTTAAAAGAGAAATGTCCGAAGGGCAAAGCATGTCAAGTCTAAGGGAGTATAGTATTTAAACAAAGGTAGCTGCCATAATTTAATTTTAAAATAAAGGTTGACAAGAAACTTACGAAGCTGGATTTCTCAAAGTTTGCACCGGAGTTACCATACAAAGCATGTACACAACTTCTGCCGCTCACCTCATGTGACCTCGGGGGCTGTGTGCTTGATAATTAGGTTGGAGCAACTTTAAAGCAACAAGAGTATGCACTTCCTGAATAAAACATGTATTTCCAAGTAGATCTTTGGGATAATAAATAATAGAAAATATCATTATTATGTACATCCCTGGCGAGATTGTATACGGGTTAATGCTTGTGCTTCAGAATCACATAGACCTGGTGAAGATCCCAGCTGTGTCATTTACTAGTGTTATTTTACAATTCTGTCACTTGCTGGTATGAACTTGGATATGTTACTTAGTCTTACTGGGACTGAGTGGTCTGAAAAGAAGATTTCAGCTTGCTATTTAAGTTAGAAACAACTATTTATTGATCATATAAATAGCTTAGATGTATTTGGTTTTAAGTGTAAGTGTAAATTATAAAATAAATAGTCAGCACACAGTTTTCTCTGAAAACACATCAGAACTTGAGATGCTAAATGCATTGGTATCTCAATGAAATACCTGTGATTTCTTGTTGCTAGTTGGTTCTTCATTTTCTTGACCATTGTTCAATAAGGATACATTTTTTTGCTTTTGCTTCAAAATTTAATTCTATATTTTAAAAACACAAGGCAGCTTTCACCAAAAAATGACATCTTCACATAAATCAAACACTAAATTTGTTCTATATTAAAGTAACCTTTATATATTACTTTCCACTCTGATCCCCCCAAAATATTAATAACTCTTTTGAGTTACTCAGGACACACATGAGCATGTAAGAAGTACAAGAGTCAGTTTGTGACAACCTGCTAATCTGAGGGGTCAAATGAGTGCTGCCTTTGGTGTAACATGTTCTCATTCATTTGTAAATTTAAGCAATAAATAATTTTTAGTTGGCAGAGAAAGTTCAAATTGGACCTGAATAAAATAAGAATTATGAGTAAACGCTAAACTATGGGGGTTATATTAATTATGTTTGCTTTACTTAGAAAATTAGAAGGAAAGTAGGATTTTGATGTTGGAAGGTTGATACTTAGCTCCACTAGCTACTGACTTTAATCATGAGTGTCAATTTAACAGTTTATTCATCAGCAAAATGATTACATTTGGGATTAGATACTGCACACTTAGTAGTTTTATTTTAAGAATTATATGTAGCCATGTATACATTGATAGCATGCTATGAAAACCAATGACTTATTAGTTAGCTATAGATTTAATTCTCAGTTAAAAGCTTTATAATCATTAGCAAGTTCTCAAACTTTTCTGAGCTTTAATTTCTCTTTCTACTCAATGGCTATTATATAAGATTATCATGAGGATTTAATGACATGAAAAATATCTGTCAGAAAGGCCTGCCTGATACTTGTTTATTAATATAATGGTATGTGAATTGAGTTAGAAACAACTATTTATTGATCATATAAATAGTCTTTATTTAAATTTATTTTATGTATAGGTTTAAATTTCTAATCAAAGGAATTTACTTGCCAGAGAATGGAAACATTATAAGATTACTGGCCTTATTATGGAAACATGTTAGGGATTAAAAAAACATAATGCAATTTATGTATACTGATTTGTTTCTGTTAACATTAAAAAGCCATATACATCTACATATATAAACTGTAGAATTATAAATTTTATTTTATGTTGGCTTTCTGATTCTCTAATATAAGAACAAGGGTTCTCATTATTCAAATAACCACATAAGATGTGATGATCTTGAATCAAATAATAGGGATAAACAAACTGACCTCCTTCAGCTGAACAGATGACCACAATTTGACTGAAAGGTCCATCCCCTTTATTGTTATAAACGCCAACCTTCACTTCAAAGGGAGTCAGTGGAGGGACACTTTCATCTCGATAGATGAATTTGGAAGCTTCAGAGGATGTCACCATTTTTTCTTTCCAGCCTCGTGTTCCATTTGGTCTGAAAGCCACAATATAGCCAAAGCCTTCCCCATTCTGAAACTCTTCAGATACTGGCTAAAGAAGGAAATTACAATTAATTATCAGCAGTATGAGTGATTAAGAAAACTATACAGTATCTCTAAATCTTGTTTTTTTTTTTTTTTTTTTTTTTAGTGGTGAAGAGCTACAGGAAAAAAGAAAGCTCAAACCCTATACTATGGTAGAAACTAAAATAGGAAGAACTTTGGCAGTTTTGGGAAACTTAAAAACCTTTAAAGGTTAAAAATTAAAAATTACATCAGTTGGTATGTAAGAAAATTCACAAGAGTATTGAAAACTCTTGAAGTGAAACAAATTTGCTCCAATTAGTCATGTATTTGAAACGAAAGCCTTAGATTCCACACTAGAATTTAAAATGTAGAGAAAAACTGTCACATGGTCTGGTGGTTAGGAATGTCTTGTCAGTGGTAATGCTCAGCAGAGCTCTCTGCACAGCACATCTAAAATAGACTAATGTGACCCTTTCTTCCAGCTGCATCTGTGCACTAAGAACATGCAAAGCAACTGGACTATGGTACTTTTTCAAGGAATCTTTGTGCTGTATGTATGTGGCTTACACTTTATTAAATGGTTTTCAACTGTCTATCATAGACAGGAATAATTGTGATTGACTAGTACATGGAAGAAAGCTGTGAGACACTGACTAGCACAATGCTTAACACATAGTAGATAAAAAAATCTTTGTTAGTATTTTTTCTTTTGAATTTTGGCTGAACTACTATGCACTGATTGAAAGGAAGAGCATGAAACCTAATATATCAAAGTTCATTGTCAATTAACTTTAGGGAAGAGCAATTCCATGTGCAGAGATAAGTCTCAGTGAAAGTCAGATATTGAGAAGTTAATACAACTTCAGAAATAAAAATAAAACATGAAATTCCATTAAGATAAATGGATAGAGCAATAGAGCAGATGATATACTCATTGAGGATTTTTTTGTTTCTAAAAGATATTTTACTCTACACTTTATTGTGGTTTGGTGAGATGGTAGGAAATTGTTCTATTTCTCTAGTGGACTTTGTTCACATCCATATCTTTTAATTCTAAGGCATAATTCTATGACCTACAGTTACATTTAATAGTAAGTTGTTTTTTCCTGTGCTGGAGATAGAACCCATAGTCTAATCTATGCTAGGTCAAATCTTTACCAGTGATCTGTATTTATAGTCTCAATACTAAAGGGAAAGAGGCTATATGGAAAAGTCAGGTGTCTCTTTGGGAAATAAATATACTCCTTAAAGTCTTTTACTGCCACTGTTTTCCTTTGACAAAAGATATTTTCAAGGCTACAAGATATGGTAGCCCAAAGAACCCAAATTTTGTAATCAAAGTCCTAATTCTGTTCATTAGAGAAGTATTTAAACTCCTCCTCAGTTTCAAAATTTATAACATGATGAAAATCTTTCCTAGTAGAAGGATTGTTGCCTTGGTTAAATAAGAAATCTAGGTTCTATGCTATGTATCTAGTTATTGTTAATTCCTTCCTCCTCAATGGTTTTTAAATACGTTAAGGTAGCTACTTAACTGTAAAATAAATATCAGACTGAGCCAAACAGACACCTGAAGCAATATGCAAGAGGACACGCTTTAATTATTCAGCCTTTGTTCTGAGACAGCTGATATGACAGGAAAGCATACTTTCTATTTGGCCAAAATACCAGATGGAGCCTGGTATGAAGATGAGAAAGACTCATATCAGTAAGTAATACATGCTCAACGTGATTCCTTCACTTAAAGAGGAATTTACTAAGGCTGTCTGCAGCAGGACAGATATTCTTAACTGTAGGCTTAGTTTAAGGAAATCCCCAGTTTTGACAGCTGTAAAGGCTTTCGTACCTCCCAGGCAATGACCAACTCGTGTCTTCTTCCACTTCTGCCACTGACATTGGTGGGTGCTGTCTTTGGAACTGTGGATAAAAATGGACTGAAAGTGAGGAGCGTGAACATAGGTATAATTGCCTTACAATATAGATAAGTCATGACCCTGCATAGATTGGATGAAATCCTGAAATAAATAAGTCAAGCATTACTTTTAAAGTTCGAATGGTCAAATTAAATCCTGAATCAAAATATTTGTGATCAAATGCTTTCAGATCTTTGTGGGATAATTTTATATGTATTTTATGGCTATATCCTTACCCCCAAATTAGTTATCAGTTAAATATTCTGTTAGTGATGTCTAAATCATAGCAACAATAACGCTTTGGATATCTACTAGTGGTTAGGCAAATTTCATCCTTTATATTCTTCTTTCATATTTACCAATTTTTGTCACCTCAAGGCTTCCAAAATTCCTGGAGAGTATACAACTTGACTCCATCATCCTCATATTACCAGAACTCCCAGGAATCTCCAGTTTACAGAGACTTTAACCATACCATGGAGTGAGAATCTACTTAAATGAATAAACACTTTAAGAAATTTGAATCGGGGCTGGGGATTTAGCTCAGTGGCATAAGCACCTGCCTTGCAAGCAGGCAGTCGTGAGTTCGATCCCCGGTACCGATAAAAAAATGAAAAAGACAAAAAAAAAAAAAAAAAAGAAATTTGAATCAATCTCTGCACACTGCAAAATACATAGGCACTCAGAGAAACTTTTCAAATGAATAACTATTGAATTACTAAATGTGTCAAAGGAATAAATTTCCCTTCACTGCACCACACCAAAAAGTCTGCATTTGAATGGGAACATTTTCAATTGAAGAACCATCAAATGAAGAAAACTATTAAAAGAAATCATTTTCCAAGCTATGAGCTTGCATTAGCAATTTTATACTTTAGTATTGCCTTTCTTACCTAGCATATATTTCTTAATTATATATATATATATATATATATATATATACTCATAAATAATAAATTCACTGCTATATATTTCATACTTGAATGAAAAGCCATTAATTACTGGTAGATAGTCACACAAAATTTTATATACTAGAAAACTGAAGCAAAGTTTATGTAGTACTAGAAAGGAAATAAAAAAGACTTCTCTTTGGACCCAGGAAGTTCAGAGGAAAGTTTGTGAGTGTGTAATTTGTTCTACAACAATAAATAATCTGTATTCTCCAGAGCCCAAATTACAGTTCTTTTTTTGTTCAACTACATGTAGCATCTATCAATAAAGCAGCAAAATAGATATACAAATAGTTCAATACAGTGTTTTTTCATAATTGTAAATATATTAAGGTTACTTATCTGTGGACTTCAGTCTTATGGATTCCCTAAGAATTACATGGAACTGGATCACCTTTACTCTCATACAAGTAATCAGGTGGAATTCAACTGATAACAAATGGCATTACAGCAATGACTATGAATATGTCTCAGATTAGTTGAACAGTAAGAAAATCATTTATTAACATAAATGTTTAAGTTAGTTATTGATAAATGTAGTGATCTGGCATAGATCAGTATGCCTTGATGCCAAATCTGAAAAACCACTGTAAAACTATGTGCAATTCTAAATTTATTTTCTGCTCAACTGTATATGCAAGGTTCAAAAGGATGGAATAGATTTAAATGTATGTGTAAAAGGACAAAGTTATAGGCTCCAAAATACTCCCTTGGTGGCTAATCACAGAATTGTGAATATTATGATTGTTAACGTATAGTCAGATGAATAGAGTAGGCAATTTGATATGTTATGGCTTCTATTTAAGAAAAAGGTGTACACACACACACAGATGGCATTTCACGTTTATCTCTAATAACTCATATTTGAATACCTTATTTGACCATTACATTGCATTAAGTTTATGTCTTAAATTTAGGACTTAAACTTATCTTCTTGGTGCATATCACTTTTATGGTTATGGATTTCATGTAGAAAGGCACTGAAGATCCCTTTTACACTTTAGGCATTCCTCAAGCATCAACTACAAAAGATGTTTAGATCCTCTAGATCAGAGTCAGAGAGTGGGCTGTGGACTCTAGCGGGCATCTCTTTAAGTCTGTTGAAAACACATTAGTACAATAAAATACATAGAACTGCAGTATTTAAAATCCAAACTTTTGAATCCTGGATTGTATTTTTCCACAGGTCTTTAATACTTTCACTTTTTAGAAAATATATTTAAAAATTCTAAGTTTTTAAGTAAAAAAGATAAAAAGCAACTGGTGGTCATTTAGTGAATTTTTTACTCTGAAGAGATAAGAAAGCAAGGTGTTCGCTGATTTTATTATTTTCTACGTGGATAACCTCCAGGTTCAATTATCCATAAATGACTTAAGTTCTGCAAAATTTCTTTTATTATTTGAAATAAACATCAAGAGGTTGATTTCTTCTAAAGACAAGAGAGCTTATAACCAAAATAAAGAAGTAAGATTCTTTTTTTCTCATTCTGCCTCCTATTTTAATGATCCACAAATGATACATGAAGAGGCATTATGGATCATTGTATTTTAATATATGTGTGTAATCACAACTCTTAAATTTAAAAAGGCTTACTACATATAATAGGGACTACTAACAGAAAATTTAAGATTTTAATATCTGAAATTCAGGAATTAAGCTTTGTTGTAAGGATCATAACATTTGGGTACTCTACCTCTAATTGGGTTAAATTTTCAGTTATATGCAGATGACCAATGGAGGCCATGTTCTTCCTTTCTTTTTCAAGTTTGTGGCACATAGTTATTATCTCTGCAGTCAATACTATAGAGTTCACTGATTTTAATTATAGCCATTAATTTATTAAAAAATTATTTGTCATATAAAGGAATTTGACTTAGTTCTTTAGAGGTCTTCTGATGTAAAAGTTCTATCATCTGTATTACAAGTATAAAATGAATATAATTAAATATCTACTAAATGCTTTAATTGAGTTCAGAGAAATACATATTTTATTAAAAACTAAATGTATTTTCAATATAATTATCAAGAATCTGATTTAGAATTAATCACTGAAGTCATTTTCTTCCTCAGTCAGTTATTGATAAACGTCAGGACCATATTAGCTTTCAGAATCAAGTTTACATGCACGGTTAACCAGTTAAACTCTGATCTTTCATAAGTTAGTTTTGTGCTGTGATCCTCCATGAAAAGACAATGTAAGTGATACATTTCACATAAGTTTTAAGTGTTTAGCTGTTTTAGGTTTTATTTTTCCACTTTGGACACTGGAAACAGAGTGTGGGAAAGATGGCCAGAGTCGTGTTTGTCACACAATGCAGAGTTTGAAAACAAATCAAAATTTTGCCAACCAGTTTATTTGTGAACCAAAAGCATCCTGAACCTAGGCCCTACTATGACTACAGTTGTTAATCATTGAAATAAAATGATTTAGCATTATTATGCACCTCATTTTGCAAAAGAGAAAGTGGGGAAGCCTATGATGAAAACCAAAAGTTCATTATGACTATATACATGTGATCTCAGAATAGAATACCCCTCTTGGATATTTGGAAGATATTGTTTTGGTGGTAGTATAGGAATTAAAGCTTTATTTCTGGAACAGGTTTTTAAATTTGGAAATCAAGGTAGTATGCACTTTTCAATCGGCTAGAGAAATTTCTAGTATATTTTAGGAAGTGTACAATGTATCTAATTTTTGAACTTTCTTATAAATATTAATAATCAAGAATATAGGGAGTGAGTATATATGGTACAATTAGGTGTTACTCTCAATTTATATTCCCTTAACTTTATTTGCATTGATTTACAAAAAGGAAAAACAGAGGATGGGGTAATCTTTGAGATTTGCTGATGCAGGTGGTAAAAAAAGACATAGCAAGAGAAGGGAGAATGTGGGAGAGAAAACTGCAGTTTTAGAGATCTTGGAGTGAAATGTTTCAAGTCATAAAGAAAAACAACTTCCAACCCAGACTAATCTATTCAACCACATTATCTTTCAAAGCAGACAAAGAAATGAGGACTTTCCATAAGAAAGAACACCTTAAAATATTCATGACCACAAAACCTGTATTCCAAAAATATCTCAGACACCCAAATTATAAATACAGATCAAACAAAAGGTAGATAAAGATAGGTAATAGGGAGCTTGATCTTTCTCAAATTAGAGAGGAGAAAGGGGATGAAAAAGATTAAGATGTGTTATATAAATGTAACAGCTACATGTAAGAAGTGTAAACTTTATATATAACAAATATACACTAATAAAAAAAGTAAAATAAAAATACATACAAAGAGACAAAAAGTCTAATTGAATGGCTACACCAGAAAGGTTGAGCAGATAAGAAAAAGGAAAGAAAGGTGTTCGTGGGGGAATCGAGAATGGGAAAATAATGTAATGACAGAAATAAGATGACACCATTAAGTAAGAACTCCCAATGTGAGTGATTTCAGTTTCCTAATCAAAAGATGTAGTTAGCAGAATGAATCAAAAAGTAAAAGCTAATGATATGCTGTATAGAAGAATTACAATTAATCCCAAAAGAAATTTATAGACTAGCAATCAAAGGCTAAAAAAATCATTTTAACAGTACTAAAACAAATAGGAGTAATTTTCCTATGTTAAAACACAATGGGCTTCAGGTCACAATTGAGCAAAAGAGGTAAAGAAGTTCACTACACACTGGTTAAAAGAACAATTCAATGGGAAGAGATAGAATTGATAAATCTAGATGTACCGAACAATGGCACACACAATTTCATGAAATAAACACTATTGGATATAAAAGATTACATAAACACAAACACAAATATAGTGAAAGACTTTAATACACCACTGTCATAAAGATAACTAAATAAAAATATCAAAGAAATACCAGAGTTGAACCATATATTTGAACAAATGGACTTAATAGATATGTGCAACATTCCGTCCTACGACAACAGAATACACATTCTTCTTAGTGGTACATGGAACATTTGCCAAAATATATCACACACCAACCCATACAATAGACCACATACTATCTATAAAGCATGCCTAAGTAAATACAAAAG